TAATCAATAGACCCAACAAATTTTCATTATTGTCTCTATCTCTTAGTGAACAGTAATTGGGGTTTATATTTATACTAGATGGCATGTCGCAAGTTACTGCGACTATTTACTCGTTCATTTTAGTATTCAATTTTGCATGCCTGATTATTTGATTTTATGAATTTACGGTTTGAAAATATCTTTTAAGTGATAAATTAGCTTGAAAAATGGAAGGAAAAAGTCTCTTATCGAGAGTGGAATCTAATATATGGGAAACTTACATAAGTCACAATTAATGCGAAAATGAAATTCGCATTACTCTATTTTCTTGTTTTATTGATGGAGAGTTGTATTTTATATCATTCAAACATATGAACTCCATATCAAACACCTTATAAAGTATGGTTGATGGAGTTGTGGAACCAATTGATCGATTAGATTTGGCAAAAATATTGTTTAGTGGTTTTATGTAAAAAAGGATACACATGTGAATGTTATTTGATTTGCGGGGAAATTAGAATTTATGGGTGAATATTATGTCAATTAGGGGTGGGCAATGGGCGGGTTGGGTGGATTTTGGTCTAAAATTGGCCCACCCGCTTACTAGCGGGTTGGAATCTATGTGACCCGCAGTCCACCCACATACTTATGCGGGTTGGGTTGGGTGGGTGGCGGATGGGTGCGGTTGGGTCGCGGGTTAATCCGCAAAAGCAATTCTCCAACTAGCCATTAAGAAAATTGACTAACATTAATAATAAGTTCATAGCAAATTAGTAAGATTGTATCACTAATTTGTGATTTTGATACAATTAATAATTTATAGTTTGTATCCCAATATTTAATGGATATTAATAATAATTTGCATACCAATATCCATTGCCAATGGATATTGCACAACACAATAACCAATAATAGTAGCCAAAACTATTCTTTATTCTCCACCTTTTGAAGTATATGGTCAGATTATAGTGCAGTTTTAAAATATGATAATATTCGATACTATAAGAAACAACATTTTTCCATGTAAAAATAGGACGCGGGTCATACGGGTGACCCGCAATCCACCCACCATCCACCCAAATAAGTGCGGGTGGGAGATTTAATAATCCGCAATCCACCCACATCATCACCCATTGCGTGCGGGTCGGGTTATTTGCGGATGGATCGATATCAATCTGCGGATTAACCACCCACGTGCCCACACCTATCTTGATGAGAATCCAATAGTTATTTTGTTCCCTTCAATCTCAACCCTGTTATTTCTAAAATCTCTTGGCTACCCGTAATTTAACCAAAGATATATTATTTTTAATTAATAATAATATTTATATTTTATTGATATTTGAAAAATCATATTCAGTGTGTAGCACATCACATGATGTGTTATATATCAAAATATAAAAAATGATGTAAAAGTGTTAACAAAATTACAACAAAGACTTAAATCTATAATAAATTGACCTTGATTATCTCGATATTTAATTATATTCTCCCGTTTTTACTTATCATAAATAATATTTGCACACAATGATACTTTAGATCAAGGTTGTCAACCTATTTTAGCCAATTGGTTCGGGCGAGCTAGTGAGTCAAGAGTTAATAGATTGATCGATTTAGCCTAGTTAGACCGATTTAACCTTATATATGAAAAAATTCATATTGTACATTCATATATAAATTATATTAAGTCTCGTCTAACATGTACATAACATATACATTACACCAAAATAATATTTCGTAATTGAACTCAAAACATATATATACCGCGTGCAAATTGCTGATGCTAAAACAAAACAAAAACCTAATTTTTATGCTATCCATTTGTGCTCCTTTTATTAGCCTACATGTCTCCCAAATAGTTTCTGCCTTTCATTTATTTGGCAGCCGAGAGAGTGCTCTCACACACACTTATTGTGAGAAACATAATTGTTGAGAGTCTATTTGTTATTTACGCATTAGTCGATATTGTCGGGAAGGGGAATAGTGAGGGTTCATTCGGTTAGGTTAATTATTCGGGTAGTAAACAGTAATTAGTCGGGATATAAATATATGATGTTATGTTAGGTCAAGGGCAAGCAATAATACAGAAATTGTTCCCAACTCTCTCTCTCTCTCTCAACTCACCTTGGCCGACCCCCTTCCTTCCCTCTCACCTTCGGCGGCTCCCAACACGGGAACCCGATTCTACTCTCTCTCATCCCAAATTTCCCTTCTTTCTCACCTAAATCCCCAATCCCTAATTCGTTTAATCCCTAAATCGCACGCCTAGATCCGCAGTTCTCTCAGTCGTATCAGAGCCTTGCTGGCGTGCTGATTACTGAGCTGCAAGAATTGAGATGTCGAACATGAACAAACCGCAACAGCAGAAACAGGTCTAGGAGATCGTGACTGTGAAAGACATCACGCACAACAAGTACGACGCGATCGTAACGACATTGGAGAGCTTAACGGCATCCACAAAGCGAGCTGCTGCTGCTTCTCGAGACTCGACCGGAGCCCTAGAGGCGCTGGGGGAGCGGATTACGTCCTCGATTGAGGAGATGGGTACGACAATGACAGAGAAGCTGTGCAAGGCCTTGGCTGACACCATGACTGAGGTCTTGATCGGCGTGTTTCAAGGCAAGGAGCCAACTCCGGGGAATCGACCCGAGGCAGTGGAGAAGATGGCAGCGGCTGTAGCTACGGCAGCCGCGAAGAAGGAGACCGAGCCGCTAGGAGCGGCGGCGGGCGAAGCTGGAGGCGGCGAGCGCCGCGGCAGGGGCGGCGGGCTCGGCTGGGGCCGCGGCAGGCGGCGCGCAGGCGACAGCGGCGGCCAAACCGCCAGGGCCTTCAGGCGGCAGGGAGGCCGCGGTGCCGGGCGAGGTTGCCGGCGGTGGGGGATCGAGGGCGGCGCGGCCGCCAGGGCCGACTGGGCGAGGAGGCGGCCATCACGGCGGGCCCAGACCGGCCGGAGGAGCGGGCAGGCCAGATGGTTCCGCGCCAGTCTTCAGTGGGCCAGGCCTACTTCCTGCTCCAACGGCCCAAGACATTGCAGAGGCCCGCAGACAGAAGAAGGTGGTGTAGTTCGAAGAATTGGGTCCGGACTATGAGGAGATGAGCTTCGCGGATCAGGAGGAATGGGAGATGGGCCCTGGGCCAGATGGGTGCGATCAGAACTGGGTGACTGAACCCATGCTGGACCAAACCGGCCGACCGGTTGGGTCATTGGCCGGCCGGACCAGTTATGGCCGGTCCGGAATTGGTTGAACCGAACCGGGTTGGGCCGAACCGGGGCACGGGCCGATGGGCAGCGGCGGGTATGGGCCGGAAGGCGGGCCTAGGCGCGAGAGATAGGGTCCCGAGGCTGGTTACCCGCCCTGGGGCACTCCACGGGCCGAGGGCGCACGACCCGGGCGCAGGCTGGAGGAGGGGCAAGGGTCCGGCGTTAAGACCGGGGGCGGCGAGGAATACCAGCACGAGATGGCCGACTGGGCCTACTCGAGGAGGCAGAACGCGGGGCCGGAGTACCGACGTCACGGGTCGGGTCACTCGATGCAGCCATCAGGCGGTAACAGGTACGGATACAGCAACCCTCTGTATGACTATGAGGATGAACTGGTGTTTAGAGCTAAACCGCCGGTTATTGAGTTTCCGAAATTTGATGGCACTGGTGATGTGGGATTATGGTTGTATGCGACGGAGAGGTGGTTTAGGAATCATCCGATCAGGGAGGAGAGGAAGGCGCATCTGGCGTCCTTCTATTTGGAGGGGGATGCTCTTTAGTGGTGGGAGTGGACTGAGCGGGCGTATGCGGCAGCGGGTGAGAGGATTTCATGGGCTCGGTTCCAGGATGAGCTCCGGTACCAGTTCGGCAGGGCGGAAGGCTGGGCACCGGAACAACTGGCCAAGCTTAAACAGACAGGGTCAGTAGCGGAGTATAGGGCGGAGTTCTTGAAGCTGGGAAACCAATGCAAGGAGATGACCGAAGAAACACTGGTGGGGTTGTGCATGGCGGGCCTGAGGCCCGAGCTGGCTACTGCGGTCAAGGTCTTCGAGCCTGAATCTCTCCGGGTGGCTTTTAGAATTGCAGGGCGGAAGGAGGAGGAGTTAGCAAGCTGGAGATCCTCTGTGGGCAGGATACAGAAGGCCAGTGGTGAAGTAGGTGGCGGAGCCGGTACGGGGGCGGGAGCACCGGCGGCGGCAGCAAGCCCTCCGGCAACGGGGACCACTGTCGGGACTCGATTCCCGGCCAGAGCACCACCGCGGGGGTTCGTGAGGCTGACTCAGGCAGAGATGGACCAGAAACGCCGAGACGGGCGTTGTTTCAACTGTGATGAGAGGTATACGGTGGGCCACCAGTGCGCCAAGAGTCACTTAATGCTGCTAGTCGGAAACTGGGAGGATGAAGGCGAGGAAATGGAGCGGGGCGCTGAAGGAGAAGACAAGAAGGAGGATGACAAGACCCATGGACCACCTTGAGGGCAAGGTGGGTTTCAAGGGGGATGGATTGTGAGAAACATAATTGTTGAGAGTCTATTTGTTATTTACGCATTAGTCGGATATTGTCGGGAAGGGGAATAGTGAGGGTTCATTCGGTTAGGTTAATTATTCGGGTAGTAAACAGTAATTAGTCGGGATATAAATATATGATGTTATGTTAGGTCAAGGGCAAGCAATAATACAGAAATTGTTCCCAACTCTCTCTCTCTCTCAACTCACCTTGGCCGACCCCCTTCCTTCCCTCTCACCTTCGGCGGCTCCCAACTCGGGAACCCGATTCTGCTCTCTCTCATCCCAAATTTCCCTTCTTTCTCACCTAAATCCCCAATCCCTAATTCGTTTAATCCCTAAATCGCATGCCTAGATCCGCAGTTCTCTCACTTATCTCTCCACAAGTTAAGGAGATAATGTAAAATAAAAGTTAGTGAACAGTAACACTGATTAAGTTTATATGTAATAATATATTAATAATAAAAGCATGTCCTAATCATTCATAGTACTCTTCCAAGCTGCATAACATATGAAATGGTTTGGTTTTTCAGTATAATCAAGACGATAGAGAAGTACCAAAGGTATACCTATGGGCAGCTAGAGTCAGACCCCTCTTCCAATGACAGTCAGGTAAAGTAACTCATAACCCTTGCTTTTGTACCATGATCGAAACAACACCCAACTAGTGGCTATTTATGCTAGGTGTCTGCTTGTGCGTGGCCTGCCATAGGTTATGGCTCAATACAAGCTTTGAGGGCGGCCCTTATCCACAGACCACAGCACTTGTCCACTTGAGTTTTCTTTTCTTTAACTGCTACTACAAAAATAAGAGTGGAAGGGCTATAGTTTCTTTTTCTTTAACTGCTACTACAAAAATAAAAGTTGAAGAGAAAAGAGTTTACTATAAGACCACCCAAGGTGTGGGTTGGTAAAATGAGAAAAACAGAAAATGTTCCCACAGTGTGGGGAAAAAGTGAAAAAAATGGGAATGTGGGTGGGATTACCAACCACAAGCGGACAAATGGTGGGGAAGGGAGGGAGGAGGGGCCGAGTGTTGGGCCCGCACATAATTTTTTTTTGTTCTAAGTTATTTGTTTTAATGATTTTCTTTTATGGTGAGGTGTTTTGATTGGTTTTATCCGCAATGGACATAATTAATGACGTTATATTTAATTAGTGATAAAAAAAATTATGTCCATATTAAAAAAAAATTATATCAAAATGTTCGTATTAATTAATTATCACTAACTACGTAAAAATAATGATTATTATATAAAAATAAAATGACGAAATCAACTATAGATTGATTTTAACAAAAAAATATTAAACCAATTACCCACTTTTTCCACCCCACATTGTGACCAAAACCTCCATTTTCCCACTTTTCCCAATTTTCCCATCTTTCCCACCATCCCACATTGTGGATGGTGTAAATCACTTGAAGGGAATAGCTTTCCCTATCTCTATAAAAGAAAGGATGGAATTCCATCGAACAAAAAGCCCTTCTTATGCCTTATTAGCGAGAGTATTTACTGGTAGTAGTACATCCACCAAAGGAGCGCTTTAACAGGACTTCGGCGCCTTTACGTGTCCACTTGTTTATGTGTTCTATCTATTGGTACACATTACACAAGACATTACACCATTGGGAAGAGTTAAAAGAGGGTCTTAGTTCTATGATAACCATGCCTCTCATCTTCAGTTTTTGAGATTGAGGATTAGAATTATCTTTAGAGCGAAAGTTATGGTTTGAATGGATGGGAGTTTTCTTCATAGCTATTAGGATTAATGCAAGAAAATACTAAACATAATATATGGCTCTCGTAGGATGTACTTTTTCACCATGTCTGTATTCGACCCATGATATTTGCAAGACTTTTCATAAGTACTGTTTAATTTTTCAAAGTGTAATTAATTGTTCTTCCTATGTACAAATCGCTGCGTTTGAGCAGAACACCTACCAGGAATACTTGCAGCTAAAAGCAAATGTGGAGTCTCTCCAACGCTCGCAGAGGTAATTAACATGCATGGTTATTGTCACTTAATTGGTGTTGGATTCTGTTGGCATATTACAATATTTTGTAGGCATCTTCTTGGGGAAGAGTTGGTCAACTTAGGAACCAACGAGCTGGAGCAATTGGAGAATCAGCTTGATGGGGCTCTGGAGCAGATTAGACTCACCAAGGTGCGTAATGACTATGCATGTTGTGATGGTTGATGAACTTTTTGGTCGTGTTAATATGTACATTTCTTAACATCCAGCACATTCTAGGTTCAAACGTTATAGATTGACTTAAATTATCAGAACCATGAGAGTATACACTATATGATAGTGCTTTGCAAGTGTATTGATTCGAATTACATGAACTTCTTAGTGAATGATTGGATTCCTTAATTACTCGTACATAGATACTTTGACGTTCTACGTACTGACCGAACTTTCATCAAGGAGGTAATTAGGATTACAACTAATGTCTATGTGTATAGCCCTAGTTAAGATTTATGAGAAAAAAGGACTTATTTGGCCTTCTCCAAAATTAGAGCGACAGTTTTATCAAGGAAGGGTTACCAAGATTCATATATCATACTTCTCTGAGAACTTACTTTTCTCAATAGTTGAGCACTTGACTTTCTGACTCTTTGCAGATTCTGTCTTGATTACTAATTTGTTCTATTTGTTCAAGTTATTAAGATATGTTCAAGAATGCATACTTATCGCGAAAGCTCCCCACTTTATAAAAGAACTAGTTATTTTGAACTAATTGTCTGAAAGTTGATCCTTTGTTCCCTCTTTACAGAATCAATTTATTGCAAATCGACTCTTGGAGCTTAAAAGGAAGGTTTGGAACTATAGCAGTATCTCCATGCATACTTCCGCCGCTCCTTGTTATGACATATATTTCACCACGAGACATCCTTTGTGTATGTTATTTCAGGAAGAAATGCTCGAGGAAACAAACAACGCATTGCGGATTAAGGTACAAATTTCGACTAATTCAAGGTACGTACCTTCACATTTACTCTGAATACCATAGATGTTACAGCGTCTGTTTTTGACAGTTGGAGGAGACAGACGCGGTGCTAAGATCTTCATCCTGGGAAGTTGGGGAGCAATCTGGTGTGCCGCCTCACCAACAGCGGGAAACAATGGACTCGCACTGCAGGAACAACCCTTTGCAGATGAGGCAATGATCATCTAGCTATGTATAATCCTTTTTCACATGGGAAGTCTCTTTTTTCTTATTATCTGATTAGCTTTTGTTTTTTGTTTGTTTATTTTATAGCTGTGGCCCAATGGAGATAGATGACAGACCGCGGTCAGCTGTGGCGTCAGCTTCCGGAAATGTGAATGGCCTTCTGAATGGCCCAGGCTGGATGGCTTAGCTGCTTTCTGGCCGGGAATATTAAGATAAAGAAGCTACTTGAATATATCATGTGTACGTATAGTACACAGTAGCTTGTATTCACGGGGGCAGCTTGATTAGCTGCTGCTTGTAATCAAATTCAGCCAATAACATTTGAATGGCTGATCCGCTTTCCTGGACCATGTGGCCTTGCTGTGTCTATATGCATAATGTTGCTACAAATTATAAACCTCTGCTCGAGAGCTAAAATGTAATTGAACCGTTTTAGCCTAATGGTCAATGAGAGTGCAGGGTTGGAAATATGTTAGTGTCTAAAAGTACAACCAAGTATACTTAACGACCAGATAATTTGGATACGGTATACTCAAAAATTACGATGATGATGATGATGATTTATTAGCTAATAGCCAAGATCATAACCACTGTTCATCACCAAATTATAGGGAAATGTTTTTTATTAGGGTTAATGCGCTAGTTTGGCTCGAAGTTCGGCGTAAGTGTCAATTTTTGCCCGAATTTTTTTTATTGAATCGATTACTTTCATTCCTCCAAACCTATATACGGAGTACATATAGGAACCAATACAATGAAAAGGAAAACTCAGAGTGAGCAGCCTTTGAAACAAGAAAAAACAATCAACCTAGCTACAACCGTATCCACCATCATTTTGAACAAACTTCTACCTAGGTACTAATCTCAGCATCTCCAAATCAATACTAAGTGCACTATTTTCACTACTCAAATACATCAAATTAGACACAGTTAGTCTTCCAATAGCATCAGCATCACGCGGAGTGCCTTGTGCAGTCTATTATACCTCTCTCACCACACATATGCTACACAAGCATACCAGAAAAGTCCAGCAATTCTGCGTGCAGAGGTCTTCCTTTTGCTAAGCACAACAGCAACTTGCACCGTGTCCACTCAAGACTGCTGAGCACAACAGCAATTAATCAGTTTGTCTTGGGTTACAATACCATTCTGCAGAACCAACCAAGCCAGAAAGCTATTGCTTGACAGGGAGTATTTCCCCCATATTAGCCTTAACCACTCCACTTACGGGAACTGTGGCCTCAAAGTATTCCACACTACTAAAACTTTTTCTCATTGAAGGAATCAAGCTTCTTCTCCTTGATTGTACCTTCTCCTTGCTCATTGGGTTGATTGGATCTTTAATGAAGCTCTTACAAAGTGTTTTCCTCTCTAAAACACTCAAAAACCCTAACTTTCTCACTCTAAGGCGGCTCTCCCTTGAAAAGTGCAATAAGAGAGGTATTTATAGAAAGCTGATGGCGGTCAAGACTTCCAGGGCGTGACCTGGCCGTGACCATCAGGGAACGTCCTCGACTCGCCCGAAACGATGCATTTTTCCGGTCTTTAAGTTTTGAGATCGCGGCCTCCTTCATGAGATCACGACCACGATCTTTGTGTCCTGGGCGCGATCTTTTGTCCCGGTCAAAATACGTCGTGCCCACGATCCGGGTGAGGAAACTCTCTGCTTTCCTCTTAGTCGCCTATTGAGGTTCGTAGCCACTGATCGCGGCCACGATCACACGCCGCGATCATCGTCACGGCCTGGTCAAGGGTAGTGACCTGTGGCCATGACTAGTGCATTTTCTCCCCTTCTTACTCCTATGCTTCCCAATCGTGCTCGGATGAAATCTAACGATTCCCGTCAATCCCAAATGAATATAAGACCTGGAATTTCATCACAAACACTTGGGAACAATGTAGTCAAAATCGTGCTTTCAAACTTAAAAACTTACGATTTTACTTTTCTAGGTCACTAAAACGCTTCTACACAAAATCTCAGTTTTTATAACTTATATAGTTAAAAACTCTGCTTTAATACTTAAAAACTTACGATTTTACGCTTCTGGATCACTAAAACATTTTTACGTAGAAACTCGTTTTTGACTACATTGCTTGAGGAAAGCATAAAATACGACACATTGGGGTCAGTTCCCCTATGAAAACCTTCATATCATGAATACCTATGCCAAAATGCATGTTTTGCAAATAGGGACGAGTATGGGCATAAATAACTTGATATGTGGATTAGACACTGTTATTTAAAATGCAAATGCCTTGGGAATATGGGATAAATAACGCCTATTTTGGTTGCTTCTCACGTGAGAACCTCTTTTTTTCAAAAGATTTTTCAAAATTGAGCACATGTTAGGAACCGTTTTGAGTCCAAAAGTAAGTAGAGAATCCCGCACACATGTCCTAACCTAGGTTGTGGAAAATATCAACACATTCAAGGAGGAAATCATTGGCCAAATTCCTCACTCCCAACATCCTCCGTAGCGCTAAACTATCCTCCCTACCATGCATAACATCACAATTATCTAGCAATTGAAAGCACCTTGAGTAGGGAGAATGCAAAAGGGACTAACTTGGAGCCCTCAAATTTGAAAAAATTTGGGCATACATACAAGGCTCCAAGTGGTTAAAACATGCTAAATCATCATCCACATTCACTCTAAAAGAACACACATTTATTAAGTGGTTAGACATTCATGGGGTAAGAGAGTATAATCGATAACAACATTCCACACAAGCATTCATGCATAACCATCCACACTTAAGGAGCACATTGTCCCCAATGTGTGAAAGATAAAAAGATAGGGGAACGAAGTTACCAAAATGCTAGCTGATGTGATTGTGGGATCGAAGGGTAGGGTTGGTGAGTGGATCTCCTCCCAAAGTCGAGAAATTGCAATTTGGACTAGGTATTTCGACCTCTAGGTGAAACTTCTAGTTATTGGTGGTGTTATTGCTTATGGTGTAGTAATGCTTTGAGTCTCGAATTGTCGTGTGGAGTTTAGAATGGTCCGGTTTCTCTATTTATTGGAACAAAAGTTTGTTTCCCTTTTGGTTGATGAACATTAGAATTTTCTCCTCATCAAAGGATAAACCCTTACAAAGGTTCCTACACACACACAAGAACAATGCATACCCGTCCACGCCAAACACATTTCATCAAAAATCAAAGAATGCATTGAACATTTCTCATCATCCCTAGGATCCAATCCCATACACCCCCACACTTGATGGTTACTCTGTAAAACAAGGGTGTAAAGTGGAAAACAATGTTGATTTAGGTAGTTAACAATCTTGATTTATTGGTCTATTAACAACATGTCAATCTAGGGGTTTTAATGTCGTGGCAAGGGCAATAAACAACCTAAATGACTAAAGTAGGGGTATGGACCAATTGCTAAAAAATCATATCAAAGTGGTAAGCTTTGTTGAGCAAAGGGGTCATGCACCTTATACCAATCGATCAAGATTCCAAACTACCCCTCAAGCATGCTTCTAGGGTTCTAAAATAAGCATTGAAGTTCATTTGGCATGGATCAAAAGATTACAAGCACAAATTATTTGGGTTAGGCATTTCATCGAGCACTTGGTGGGAGACAATAAAAATAATTAGAACCATGCAATGCATACCCATCAAGGCCTCCAAACCACATACATTCATTCATAAGAAGATATCATCATTCCATCATTTGTCCTTCACCTTAGTCCATTAGAACTCATTCATAACTAAGGCATGGTCGTTTACTACTACTTAAACTACTAACTAACCTAAGAACTAAATTCAAACATGCAAGTACTTTATTGAAAGGTAGTGGAAAAGAAAATGCAAACCGATGTTGGGTTGCCTCCCAACTAGCGTTTCTTTTAGGTCATTTCACCAGACTGTTATCTTCGAGTACTAAGTCCAGCTCAAGACCTCCTTGAAGTTGAGGTTCTCGTCGGTGAGGTGGTGTCTCAAGTCCCGAGCTTTGGATGCTTCAAATGATATGAATGCCCTGTGGACTTGGTATGAATTGTGTCTCCACCCACAAGACCTCTTCTTATTTCTTCTCTTTGCCCCATACCATGTAATGCAATCTTGATTGACCATCATTGAATCCATCAAGAGGGATTGTTTATGGTGTGGCCTTGGCTTGGCAAAGAGAATCCGCAAATGGATCCTTCTAAAAAAGTGTATCAAGGTCGGTTGGAAATTTTAAGAAGCACGTGTAATTTGTGGAAACTTAATCCACTTCGACCTTGTCCATTGGTTGGACTCCAATTGCATATTCAATCTCCTCTCCTTGTGAATAATATTCCCCATCTTGAATACCAAGCTCCTCATCTTCTTAACTTTCTTCTTCCTTCCTCACAACCTCATCAATGCTCCCTTCTTTAGTTTCTTCTTTGCGATGTTTAGGAGCAATAATGGTTTTACAAGCAAGTTTTTCAATAGATGGATCTCCAATGTCCACCCTTGAGACTTCTTCCTTTTCTACTACATCCCCTTTTGCTTTATTCTTGACGTCAAAGAGGTGCTCTTCATTGTGTCTCAAGCAAAGTTGCTTAATAACTCTTCTGTTCTTCTCTATCCTCTTGAGCATATCTTATTGTTCCTTGAGTAAGTCTTGAGTAGAAGGGTCGAGAATTTCCTTGATTAAAGTTGTCCCTTCGGTCCCACCTCTTGGAGCCAACTTTCCTCTCGTTTAACATCTAAAATCCGGAAGCAACCCGGAGGAAGGTCGGGGTCGCTAGCATCTAGGCACTCCATTGGAATGGTGTAGCGCTAGAATGCTAACACTACAAAGATCTTTGGTGTAGGTGTAGGTGGTGGTGAATGATGAAGTGCACTTCCAGTCCCGACCATGGGTTTTCTGACTCAAGCTCCAAGAGGCTTGATTGGGGCCCAAATGTACACATTTTACCCCTCATTTCTTGTCCGTTTTGCTTAGTATATCAACGTCCCTCGACCTATATTACACTAGATTGTGCTTCTTTTATTGCATTTTAGGTCCTAGCACGTGTCGGAAGGTCGAGGACGAGTTTCGGGTCAATTGTAGGTCGAAAAGCGCAAAAATGTCTAAAGTCACGGTTTTAGGTTGAAGATGTGGAACCTAATGCTTTATGTGCCACCACCCAAATAGCCTTTTTCCCCATATCCTAGACCCTAGCCAGTCATTTGAACCCATGTCTTAGACCTCCGGACAAGCTAGCAATAACACCCATCTTGTGAGCTCTAGCATTTAGAGGCTACCGTTATGGTAAATGGACGTTAGGATTGAGCGTGAATATGCGCATTTTTTGCATCAAATGGTCCTCGCCCCCACTGGTCGAGAGTGAGTGATTCATTCATCATGTTTTGTTCATTTCTTATACCCGGTGAGGACCTAGGTTGCTTGATCGTTCGTCCCTATGATGTGATCTTCATGCATGAGTAACTGTGATTAGTGAGTCATCGAGGCATGTTGTGTGTTGCTTCGTGAATATTGT